GGGGTTGCCACAAAGAAGAGGGAATCAAACTATTCTGCAAGGTACCTGAGTGTAGAACAAGAAGCAATGCATGGAACTAATCAAGGAGAGAAGCAACTTAGAACTGAGGAGAAATTTCCTGACAGTGAGAACAATTAATCAGTGGAGCAGCTTCCCTCCAGAAGTTGTGAATGCCCCAACACTGGAAATCTTTAAGAAGATGTTGGATAGCCATTTGTTTGAAATGGTATAGGGTTTCTTGCCTAGGCAGGGGTTTGGACTACAAGACCTCCAAGGCCCCTTCCAACTCTACTATTGTATTGTATAGTATTGTATTGCCTTGTATTTTGCTCTTTGCCTAGTCACCCCCACCCTTGGACGGGCCTTTAGGTGTAATCTCTAACCTGATTGGAGACTCTTCTGTCCCTCCAGTGGGGCTGCCCGCTTTAGAAACGAGGACTTGATTCCTGCCTGTGTCCTCCCAGCTGCAGGGGACCTCCATCTTGGGTGACATGGGGCCTTTCCTCCCCCTTCTTTCCAAATGGCTCTGCGGGGCAAGTACAACAGCCCTGCCCTCAGGACTTTGAAAAAACAGCTTGTGCTACTAAGAGCTGCCGCTCTTCCCTGTGGCCTCCTGCTGTTAACAGCAGGTTGCTGAGAGCCTTCTCACCCCCCCTTCTTTCTCTTTCTTAAATGGGAAGGTTTTCCTTAAAGGGAAGACCTGCTTTAAAGGGGAAGCCTCAGAAAATATCTGAGCCTAGTTGCCCTATCTGGGCTTCTCCGGCTAGTCAGGCACTCAGAAAAGGATTGAAAAGGGCTTGCATAAATCGTGTTAGCAAGGTTGCCAGAACACAGGATGACAAAGCCAAAGGGAACCCTCCCCTGGTGGGAGAGGTCCCCTTCTGCAACCCTGCCAGCTGAAGAGAAACCTGGTAATCTTTTCTCAAGTTCAGGCCGGGGGGGGGGGAGTTCTTCCTGCTGCTGGTCTTATGGCAGATGCCTCTGCCTTTCATACTTGGAGGTAGGCTTGGAGGGGGGGATTGAGCCACAGCCTGCTTCTTTAGCCCCCTTGATGGAGATATGCTTCCTTTTGGCCTTTGCTTGCCTCCCCCGCCCTTGGCTAATGACTCTGCAATGGTCTCTAACCTTTTTAAGGGCTCCTCAGAGCCTCCAGTGGTTGTTGCTGCAGGGCTGAGAGCTCAGCTCCTGCCAGCCTCCTCTGAGCTGCTGGGGGCTGCCATCTTGGACCATGTGGTTTCAAAATGGCCCCTGGCTCCAAATTCAAAAAGCTCCTCTTTGCTGGAGCACATGGAAATGGCTTGTGCCTTTGTAGGCTGCCACTCAACTTCCGCTGCCACTGGAGGCTCTCTGTCTCGCCTCCCTCTGCCTCCCGCAGCTCTTTCTGAATCTCTCCGGCTCTCACCTTGTTCTCTGGTGATCACTGCCAGCGCAAGTCCTCCGGGGCGTTTTAACCCCTGAGGGGAGTGGGGGGAGTGCTCCTATGCCTGTAGAGCCTCTGCGGCAGGGCTTGCCTCCAGGAAGCTTGTGCCCTCTCCTCCTGCTTGCCCAGCAAAGGTCCTCACTGAGTGACTCCGCTCTCACTCAGTGGCCAGGGCAGCGTGCCGCCCCAGGGGGCTTGTGGCAGTCCAGTCCTTGCACGAAGGGGCTGTGTGTGGTACAGGGAGGCAAAATTTGTCGGGTCCAAATATTTTTTTCCTTTTAATTCTTTGCTATTTGCTGGAGATCCAGAATGGTGAACCATCCAGTGAGTGGATTGATAACTGGGGAGTACCTGGTGGCCAGGGGCGTGTCCCAAAGAGCTTATCTGACTCAATCCAATCAATGAGAGGACAAGGTCAACCCAGTCTGGATACTCCTCCCCGCTCACTATGGAGAAATCAGCTGGCTAGCTAATGGCTGGCAAGCCATCAAATGTGGCTCCGTGTGCCACCTGTGGCAGGCGTGCCATAGTTTCACCATCACGGGTATAGGGCCTCAAGCCTGCCACATATATAAACATATTCTACTGTAGGAAGGGAGGGTTGTATGGCGTATGGGAGAGATGTAGACATAACAATATTCCTTCTCAGAAAGTCAAGGTCAATTTGTCCCTGCACCTGGATGGATGTAGATGGGAGGAATCTTCCTTCGTGGCAATGACTGATTGGACCATGTGATGGACTTGTGGGTGTTAGGGTAGGGTCTTTTCATTGGGGTTGTTAGTTGGATCCCTGACACCCTATTTATTAAGTTTTTATTATTATTATTTTTCTTATGTCTACACAAAAGAGAATAGAAATTCCAGGAAACAAAAGTATAAAAATCCTAATAAAGCTAGCAATCTAATTTGAATATAAATAGAGGAAAGAAAAGTAGCACTACAGTAATAAGCAGTACAGTAATATAGATACCATGATAGCACTTTTATCATCATCATTATAACAATTTACAACAAAGGTTCATATTTTTAGGCTTTCCTTTTTTTCAGTAAAGAAACAACTCAAAGGCTAGTTTAGTTGAGCTAACTATTAACTAGCATGAAACTATCTTTCAGGAACACACAATAGTTGCCCCTAAGCACTTAAAAACAGACAGATTACAGATTTTTTTGAAAAAACCAATTCAACAGTATATTAATGCTTTTAATATCTAATTACAAAACTGTAACTTGTTGCTGTCCTTTAGTAATTACCAGTATATATGGTAGAAAATTCAGCTTCACCAGGTACAAAATTTGGATGACAGCAGTTCTCCATGCTTATGCTTAGCTACTGCAAAATCTATTTGTGTTTGTCTAACAAATGAAGGCACTACAACAAATCTGAATTTGTCCATTACACTGACCAATCTAGGCTATATTTTGATTTATTATTACTAATGAGGAAACAATTTGTATCTAGCATTTGGAGTAACCATGAAGACAGATGTTCAGGGAATGGACGTACCTGATTAATGTATATAATGAACAAGTCTTTACAGAAGGCAGCAGAGGAAGCAAATTCGTGGAGGAACTAAGGCTAAGCATGACTTTTCTGAAAGAATTTGGAGTTGGGACTAACATTAATCTCAGAACCTCAGTGCATATTGATTCTAAGGAGAGAATCAAAATGGTTAACTATAGTAACTATGAAGAGAAGAGAAAGATGCAAAGGAATGCATGTTTAATAAATAAAATCAGATAGAAGACACAGACAGCAATCTAGGTTACAAAGATAGATTTGCAAATTTTGACGCTGATAGAATCGTGATGGTGAACCTATGGCACACATGCCACAGGTGGCACCCGGAGCCATATCTGAGGGAACATAAGGCATTGTCCTATGCCAGCTGATTTTCAGCCTTCCGGAGGGTGGGGGAGGCCATTTTTTCCCCTCTCTAGGCTTCCGAGGTGGTGCAGTGGTTAAATGCAGCACTGCAGGCTACTTCAGCTGACTTCAGTTCAGCTGTTCAAATCTCACCGGCTCAGGGTTGACTCAGCCTTCCATCCTTCCGAGGTGGGTAAAATGAGGACCCGGATTGTTGTTGGNTGGCTGCATTCTGGACTAGCTGAAGTCTTCGAACACTCTTCAAGGGCAGCTCCATGTAGAGCACTAAGAGACCCGTAGCAGTCGTGGTCTGTTTCACATAGCATGCTAAACCTGACTTCCCACAACCCTTCAGTCACAGATTACCCCATCCCATTGTAGCTTAACCTAGCATGCTGTGTATCAACAGATAAATGTGTTTCCATGTACCCCCAAATATATTCTAAATTGCTAACCCTGCAAGGACTCGGATCTTGCTCTCCAATTACACACTGTGTTGCGGAGCCAACTCTGTCAATTTACCTATCTGTGATGCAGCAGGTTCCAATTCCATGAAAATAGAGCCTCCCGTGGCCAAGTCCTGAATGCCCAACAGTTGCCAGTGGTCTCGCGTCAGAAGATCAATGTCTCTCATCCCAGCTAAGGCCTGGCTCAGATGCAAGGATTCAGCGATCCTTTTGATCAGCCGCAGGTTCTCAGTTCTGTCATACGGCTCTTCTGCAGTTGGTTTCTTCTCCTTTCCACTCTACGGAAGAAAATATAAACGTATATACAGCTGGTTATTCAAGGCGGTGAATGTCGGGATACTACACACTGAGAGTTTGAGTTAGATCCATACAGAACTCTCCCCCCGCCTCAGACTCTAAGATTGGACTTCCAGATCTAGGCTGCAGAAGTCTCAGAAGCTGGATAGGGTCTCCATGAAACTATATTTTTGATGTTTCCAAGTGATCATTGAAACTTTTTTCAGCCCAGATCTTGTAGGCCTATTCTGAGAGCCCTGGGGTATGGCAGCATGCTCGTTCTGAATCCTACCCTTTCCAATGTTCTACTTGCTTTCTATAGGCTTGCCAGTTTTTTAAAAAAATTACTGGTTTTTGGTAATCAAAGTCAGTATAATCAGTAATCCAGGAGTGCGTGGAGAAACGGAAATATCTTTTCGCTAAAACTGACTGCTTTTTGCAAACAGAGCCTTGAAGGACTGCTTTTGAGTACAGCTTGGGTCTAATCAGTAGTGGGCTTCACTTACCTTCCTGTTGTGGCCAAGCAGGAGCCGTTGGAGCTGCCACCAGACTCCGACAGCGAGGGGCCCTATGAGTCGGCTCTAGAGGATGTGGAGGACCCTGGACAGGGTTCCGACTCCGAGCAGGGCGCAGAGAGGCTGGTTGGCCACAAGGAGGTGCCTGAGACTTGGACCAGTGGGGAGGAGACAAGGGAGAGTGAGCCAGAGGCCAGTAGTGAGTTGTTCCTGGATGCATGCCATCGAAGAGCT